TTCAAATAACCAGCAGAGGGTTGGTAACCCGTAGAAAACGAATCAAGCCAGGCAGGACATTAATCAAGATTTTCATCTGTGAACGATCAATGTTTTATGAAAGGAAAAGAAGTTGGTGATTACTTTGATCTGGAATCGTAATAGAGGTCCGCTGAATTCTTTCAGACAGACGACTGTCATATTTTTTGTTGTTTTTGCCGCCTTCACCTAATATGGCGGAAGAAACGTTTATTTTTGTCTGCTCTTTGTGTCTGTCGACATTTAACAATGGCAAGTTCAGCTCAGTGGTAAAAGTCACGTAAGCAGAACTAAAAAGGTAGCTGGTGGAGTTGGATGGCCGTGCCCCCCTCTCTCTCTCTCTCTCTCTCTCTCTCTCTCTCTCTCTCCCTTTCTGTCTGTCGCTCTCTCTCTCTCCCAAAGATCCGAAACTTATTTTCCAGGTTACGAAGAAATTCTTGGTAAACAATAGACATGATTCTTTGCTCTTTGAAAAGTTTTTGATGGAAGGAACACGAATTATTTCGTCATGCTTATTTTTGTTCGATTATTTGTTGACTTTTATTTTTGGGTGTTTGTTTTTTTGTTAAACAGATGGTCAACAAAAGGTTCGCCTCGCTCACCTCAGGAAGTTTATGAACCCGAGAGTTGAAAAGACCGATCACGTGAAAGAGCAGTGAAAAATATATACTTAAAGACGCATATATTTTTTTTTAAGCATTTCACCCCAAGCAAGGCTGGAAGCCACTAGCACGCAAGGGGTTACATAGGATGTGGAGCTAGACCAAATAGGAGTGATAGCGAATAGGATGAAGAGAAGGATAGGGGATAGATCAAGGCAACTGGAGATGTCTATTGACATTACATTTGAATAGTTGGAGATTATAGCTATCAGGGAAACAGGAAAAAAGAAGGGAGTTCCACAGGCGAGAGGTGCGAGATATGAAGCTATTGGAGTAGAAGAGACTTCTACATTTAACAGTTTCAACAGTGAAAGGGCGAGAGCGGGATGCCAGCCTCGTAGGGCGCTTGAACTCATGAAGTCTGGGAACCAGCGGAAGCAGCTCATCGGAACAATTACAATGAAAGTATTTGTAAAAAAGACAGAGAGAGGAGACGGCACGTCTGTGAGAGAGCGAGTGCAAACGAGATGCCAGATCAGGGCCAATTGCATTGCATTGCATATCCGTCTCTGGATCTTATCAAGAACCCCGAGGCAAACAGAAGGGGCTCCAGACCATATATGGCAGCAATACTCCATGTAAGGGTGAAATCGTTGATTTGTAGATTTGAAGGATCGATTCCGAAGCGAAAAATTCCCTGGCGCTGCACAGGGAGCCAACTTTCCCTGCGGTGGACGAAGCAATTGACTCAATGTATTTGTTCCATCTTAGGTCAGCAGACAATGTGAGACCGAGCAGCCGCAGAGAGGTGCTCTGGAGAAGTTGAGCGTCAGACATTCTAATGGGGGGTGGCAGGGAAGGATCTCTGTCGTGATTAATAGGGAGCAGTTTTGTTTTTGAGGCGTTAAAGTTAACCAGCCAATTCCTGCCCCAATTGGAGGTCTTTTTCGAGACGAACGGCAAGGTTACTTTTGTCAACGACACTAGATTTGTTTTTGAGGCAGGAGTAAATTGTAGTGTCGTCCGCGTAGATGCCTACTTGGGAATCTATGACGTCAGGAAGATCGTTGATGAAGATAAGGAAAAGAGTGGGGCCAAGGATGGATCCTTGAGGAACACCTGCGTTCGTGGGATAGGAGCTGAAGGAGAATCCGTTGAGAACGACCTTCAGTTCACGGTTTGACAGGAATAATCGTATTAAATCAAATAATCGACCTGTAATACCATAACCCTGAAGCTTGCGAAGAAGGCCAGAATGCCATTCCTATCAAACGCTTTGGAGATGTCTAGGGTCATGGCTCGAGACAATTTCAGTAATGGCCGTAAGCACATCATCTGTAGATCGGGCAAAGCGGAAACCATATTGCTTGTCTGAGAGCAGATTATGGGATGTAAGGTGTTTAACCACTTTGGCGTTGATTAAAGCTTCGAAGACTTTGCCGAAAAGGGGTAAGAGACTGATAGGACAGTAATTAGAAGGGTCAGAGGGGTCACCCGTGTTCTTAAAGACAGGAACAATCGATGAGGACTTCCAGCAGTCTGGAAAACAAGATTCCTTGAGGCAGTAGTTATACAATTTGGAGAGGGCGGGCGCCAGTTCAGGCGCACATTTCTTCAAGACAATGGCCGATATCCCGTCTCCACCACTAGCCTTGTGGGTGTCTAAATTAGAGATAATGCCCAATACCAATGACGGGGTTATGTGCAACCCGTTCAATAGGGCCTCAGTTCTAAGAAGGAAATCGGGTATGGGTACACCGGAAGAGTCGAGCGTTGAATTGAATGAAAATTTCCGAGCAATGCATTCAGCCTTGTCGGCAGAGGAGGTCAGGACCTCAACCTGGTTGAACAAAGGAGGTATAAAGGTTTTGCTATTGTTGAGTACGCTCTTACAGAGACGCCAAACATCCTTGGAGCCGAATTTCCGAGATGCAATACGTTCCTTCATTCGAGCAGCAAATACTGACTTAGCTTCGTAGAGGTCACGCTTACACTCGTTACGGGCAGAGGCAAAGAGACGTCTATTGTAGTCCGACATGTCGCTACGATATAGGTGGAAGAAATGGTTTCTATGGACAATGGCGGCTGAGCAAGCAGCAAAGAACCAAGGGGGGAGCGCGATTTGACCTTATATTTCCTTGAGGGAATGAAAGCGTCGATTCCAGCTTTAACCCAGGAGGAGATCTCGGAAGCACATGCTTGAACGGGGAGCATAAAGACAACATCCCAGGGGACATCGCAGAGGAAATCACGAACGATTCCCAGTCAGCTCGTTGATAGTAGAACGAGGTTCTAGAGGTAGGAGGTTGTTTGCAGGGGGCGAAGTTGAAGGAGATAGAAAACCTTTTAATAATAGTAAGGACTTTAAAAAAATCTCATCATTTTCTTATGGCATGGATACAAGCATTAATATAAGATTTTCTGTTGGCATATAATGGGGTATCACTTTTCTTTTGCTATCAAGTAATAAAATGAACCTCCAATTATTTCATATTCATATAATTCAATAAAATAACTTTAAACATTCACATGTTAAAATCGCCTAATAATAAAAGTCCTATGCTGTTAATTTGACGTTATGAATAAATAGCAAAAACTGTTATTATAAAGGTCGCAAATCCTTTATCCGAAATTCTTGGGACCGAAAGTGCTTCTATTTTTAGATTTTTTCGGATTTTGGAATACAGGTTATTTAATTTGTACATAGCATAGGGTAGCTTGGGAATGGAACCCAAGCATAAGCACGATATTTCTTTACATTTCCTTTTTGTTTCTATTTTCTCTAAAACCTCATCATTGTTCACATGTTCAGCTCATAGTATCCTCAGCATCCTTCTGCAGAACTACATTCTGTTGCTTCAAGTCTCTTCTTCATGTTTGAGGAGATTGTCCAGTATTCACTGTCATACAGGAGGATATATATCACCATTTGATTTCTTTCTTTTTATGTGCCATGTCTTTTCAGGACGTAGGCGATCATGGCTCTCCACTTCCCTTTATCCCTTGCAGCTCTCAACAAGTTCCTTCCCTCTGCCCCCCCCACACAGACCACATTCTGTCATCCACTTGCTTAAGCCCGCTAGTTATGTCATGCGTTGTTTTCCCTTGTCTCTCTTCCCCTTTATTCGACCTGTGAGTATCAGATTCTCCAGGTCCTCCTTCCTCATTATGTGTCCCAGAAACTTCAGCTTCTTCTTCATGATCTTAAGTAAAAGCCTCCTCTTTGTTTGCAATCTCTCTAAGACCTCATCGTTGCTCAAACGCTCGGTCCTTAGCATCCTTCTGTAGAACCATATCTCCGTCGCCTCGAGTCTCTTCTTCATCTTTGAGGAAATCGTTCAACATTCGCTGCCGTAAAAAAGGACAGATGTCACGTAACAGTTCAGTATTCCTTTCTTCGTTACCAAAGAAATCCTCCTGTCTCGCAATCCTTTGCCCAGCTTTTGGAATGCGTCCTTGGCCATCCCAATACGTCTTCGGATCTCGGTGTCGCACTTGCCGTCCTCTGTCAAAACACTTCCGCGTTTGCTTGAACGGACCTGAAAATCGCATTTCGGGCTCATCCTTTTACTATGCATTCTGTTTTCTTGTAGTTTATACTTAGTCTCTTCTTCTCACTCTCCGTCGCTACCTTCTGTAGGAGATTTTGTAATTTCTTATCCTTGTCTGCTATCAGTACTACTGTGTCATCTGCGTATCTGATGTTCGACTAATCTTCTCTATATGCCACGAACTACAAATAAAAACGAATTGTCCTTTCTTGTGAATATCTCATTTGTATATTTTTAATTAAACAAATTGAAATATGTCAATTATATAAGTGTTCCTTTTCTGCATGACATAAAAGTTTCGGGAATTTTCCTTTTGACTCGAATGGTTCTTATAAACATCACTGCAGTGTATGTAGAAATCTCCTTTGCTGACTTTTTGGTCAATAAGTGAAAGTCCGTTCAACTGCCCAGCGACATCAGTTCAGAGATAAAGCTTCTTCCTGTGGTGTCTCGACTGACCGCTCCTTTCTTGATTTCACCGCATCACAGCGACATCAGATACTGAGCAAAACAAAAAAACTTCAAATAACAAACAAAACAAACGGACAATCAAATCAACAAACAACTAATTTGAAAGTAAAAACCTAAGTAATCAATCGATTAGTCGAAAACTTTTGCTAATTTCTTTAATTGGTTTACGTGATTCATTTGATCACTAATAGAGTTTGTAGAGAAATTCCATCTCTCTCTCTCTCTCTCTCTCTCTCTCTCTCTCTCTCTCTTTGATCAATAATCAATCAATCAATATTTTCGTCCAGAACTTGTCTTCCATCGATAAACGTTTATGACTAATAAATGGTTCACATGTTAAAACACTACTTATTTTGCATTAGATAGATAGATAGATAGATAGATAGATAGATAGATAGATAGATAGATAGATAGATAGATAGATATATTGTTCAAAACCATCTACCAGCATTGATTTCTAGAGTATGTTACAAAAGATAGATAGATAGAACGGAGGTGCTGGACACACACACATTACATCAAAAACGTGTAAAACGCTACACAAATGCAACCAGGTTTCGATGTGTATTGACACATCTCATCAGGCGTTAGTAAATAACCAGTTATTTACTAACGCCTGATGAGATGTGCTAATGTCCTAAAACAAAGTACATATATATAGTTAGTTAGTTAGTTTATGCAAACTTAGGTAATCCGTATGGGTAGACCTGAGGAGGAGCTCAATGTAAAATTCAGAGCAGATATGTTTGAATAAAAGACAGACCACGTTAAGATTCCATGTAATAAGCTATTTCACCATAACCCCTGAATATATATATATATATATATATATATATATAACGTCTGTAGTCCCCCAAAGTTAGTTTTCCACATTAGTTCCAGATTAGTTCTTCAGATTATTCTAAATCTGTTTACTATATATATATATATATATATATATATATATATATATATATATATATACATACACACATATATATATATATATACATATACATACATATATATATATATATATATATATATATATATATATATATATATATATATATATATATATATATATATATATATATATATATATATATATATATATATATATATATATATATACATATATATATATATATATATATATATATACACATATATATATATATATATATATATATATATATATATATATATATATATACATACACATATATATATATATATATATTATAAATTAATTGATTTAAAATATGGTTATTTTCGCTACACAGTTCCAACCATGTTTCAAAAAAAATAGAAGCTAAAACCCTAATTTTATTTTTGCAAATAAATTAAATCAATTAATTTATAATATTAATGCTCTGTAAATTTACATTGAGCACTATTTTGTAAAAATAAAATATCTATAAGAACACCGGATTTTATATCTTACTGTTCTTTCTTTTTATTTATATACATATATATATATATATATATATTGTGTTGAGTTTCATAGTTTAAATGCCCACCATTTTACTTGGTCGTTTTTTGTTTGTGTTTTGTTTTGTTTTTTTCTTCTACTTATCTAGGTTGTCTTTACAGAACTGGTAAAGGCTTTATTTGATTTGTATCGACAGGAATTCCCCAAATTTGCACAGTTCTTTTTTTGTATTTCTTATATGTTCTTTTTTTTATTTATTGTCGTCTTTAAAAACGTCTTCCAGAGATTTTGGTAAGGCTATAACGTCATTTAGAAACCCACAAAAAAAGGAATTCTGAAAAAGCAAAAAGAAAAAGACTAAAAGATAAAAAAGCTGAAACAAAACAACAGTGAATAAGAAAAAGAAAAAAAAGATAAACCGTTACAACTGTTTAAACATAGAATTCCGTTTCGTCTCCTTTGTCATTTCGTCTACATTTCTGACTTTACTATAAACCGTTTTTATGTCTACTTCTCTTTTAATTCATTGTGCTTTTTATCCTTTAAAACTTATATATAACTAACTCCAAAGACTAGCTAAAAATTAGTATACATTAAAAAGAAATGCCCCAAACTTAATAAAAATAAAGTTTTATCGTCAAAACATTTATGTAGTTATTAAGAGAAATGGCCAAAGGATTTTTTATTGTTAAATTATTTTTTTTAATCCTTATTAGAACCTTGAAAATTCTGGTTGAAAATGTTGTTTTTCTCGTGTCAGCTGGTGACTATAAATTCTTTTTTCTTTTTATGTGCCGTTCAGGATGTACCTGTACCTGTAACGGCATTCACCCGGGGTGGGTTGAGTCGGCTCCAATATTGGAGTTTCATGGGAATTTGGAATTCACAAGTGGTCCCCATCCGCATGTATAGCACATGAGATTTGATTATAGTGGTGACGGTTTCGTGCAGGACCACCCACACTTTTTGAAGGGCCAATTACAGAGACCTGGTACACTACATGCCACAAGGTCCCCAAACGGCCCTCCGCAGGTTTTGAATTCAGAGTTTTTCCTTCTCCTAGACCAGTTGCCATCCAAGGCTATAGAACCCAGTCTGTCCTGCTATTTACCCATAGCTGGAGGGAGAAGAAGAGGATTCACACCTTTCCCAAGGGTATTAGCACGTAAGTGAATGTAATGGATTCGACTGGAATTCGAACTCGGCTCTCCGATTCCGCAATCCAAGACGCTATCCATTACTCCCCTTATCCCTTGTAGCTCTCAATAAGTTTTGTCCTTTTGCTACTTCTCTCAACCCCTGTTCTGTCATCCACTTGCTTAATCCTGCCTCTCACGTTGCTTTCCTTTCTCTGTGATTCTCCAGGCCGTCCTTTCTTTATATAGCAGGATATCCAATATGGAGACTGGACACAATCACTTTTTTTTCTCTTCTAGTTTGGTGTTTTTGATGCCATTCTCCGTCTTCTTCTTTTTTTATGTGCTTCCCTTCATGGCTCTCCACTTCCTCCTTTCCCTAGTCTCTTTTTTTATCCTTTGCTATTCAACCCCTGTTCTGTCATCCACTTTCTTAATCCCGCCTCGTATGTCATCTTGATTCTTTGTCTCTTTTTCCCTCTATTCGACTTATGAGTATCTGATTCTCTTTCTTTATAGCAGGATATCCCATATGGAGACTGGACATAATCACTTTTTCTCTTCTAGTTTGGTGTTTTTGATGCCATTCTCTTTCTTCTTCTTCTTCTTCTTCTTCTCCTTCTTCTTCTTCTTCTTCTTCTTCTTCTTCTTCTTTTATGTGCCGTGTCCCTTAAGGACGTAGGTGATCATGGCCCTCCACTTCCCCTTATCCCTTGTAGCTCTCAATAAGTTTTATCCCTTTGCTACTTCCCCCAGGCCCTGTTCTGTCGTCCACTTGCTTAACTCTGCCAGCTATGTCATGCGTTGTTTTCCCTTGTCTCTCTTTCCCCTCTATTCGACTTGTGAGTATCAGATTCTCTAGGCCCTCCTTTCTCATTACGTGACCCAAAAATTTCATCTGCCTCTTCCTTATGTTAAGTATAAGCTCCCTCTCGATTGCTTCCTCTCCAAAACCTCATCGTTGCTCACACACTCGGCCCAAGATATCCTTAGCATTCTTCGTCCAACCATAAATTACTACAGGAAATTTTAGCGTTTTTTTTTTTTGTTGTTTTCGTTTTTTTTTTTTATTGTTTTGATTTTTTTCTGTGAAAAACGCATTAATTTGGAAATTCTTGCAAAAATTAAATAATTGTAGAATTTTAATGAAACTTTCAGGACTCATTTACAAATGAATGGAATGATTTTTAAGTCTTTCTTTTTTAAAAAGTCTTACTAAAAATATTCTTTACATCTGTTACCCTCCTCCCCACCACCACCACCACATCCACCACAAACACACTTATTTAATTTTATAACATTTCGAGAAATACTTTTTTAGGCAGTTTAATATTTATATTAACCTGAATGTGTATTGACGCTCCGACACGCCCCAACTGGGCGCTACCCGACACTGCTCCTGAAAGGCGAAATTTATGGATAAGGGATGACCTCAAGAGATTATTTTGTGGGGTCGTCAATCAGTTTGAATTTTACCGAGCCTGTTCAGCACCTTGATGGGGGTGACGACTTAGGAATGCCATGTAAGCTTTGATGTGAGGGGGATGGAATATATAATGGCTGTATACTTTATATTCACCTGTACCACGACCTACAAATATACGGCCCCACATGTCACACTTCAGGCTAATTTCTTACAGGCCTATATGGTTTATAGTCTTGTTTTATCTAAAACATGTTAAAACTATCCAGAAATACACAAACAGGTTGTTGTTTTTTTCTTTTTAAACCGAAAAGTAATAATAAAAGATTGTAAACAAACAAACAAAAATAGATATTAAAGAATTAAGCATTAATACAAAACAAATAAAAGTAAAAGAAACTTATCAACAGTTTCTCTATAAATCAATTTTCTTTTGACCTTTGCCTTTAAAAAAAAAACATTCTACAATATTTTTTGAACTTCATTCGATGAAAACTTTCGTCTGTTGTAAGATACAGGGTGTCCATAAAGTTCGTGTGCACTTTAAAAAATTTATAACTTTATTTGTATTTGCGATAAAAATAATCTGTAAAAAATGCTATAAATTTTAATGCACCTAGTTTTAAGTATTGCTAAAATAACTAATGTGATTTCAGGCATTACTGTAAATCAGTTGGCGAATGTTTTCCGTGAACTGCAAAATCGTGTTACCCTTTGTATTAATGATGGAGGACATGTAGAAACTTAAATAAAATTTCAATAAAACCTTTACTTCTTTCTAATCCTTTTTACAAATTATTTCTATCGCAAATACAAATAAAGTTATAATTTTTTTTAAATGGACACCCTGTATATTCTCAATAATTTCTGCTACAAAGTGAACTCCTTTTTCAGTGTGTTGTTCATATTTTGCAGAATAATTTTCCAAAATTATTTCAGCAGACTCTCTTTTAGTAGATTCATTGTCTTACAATAAATTTATCTACATAGTCAAATGTAGCAAAACAAGCGCAAACAAACTCTGCCATTTGGCTAGACGGAACCGTAAGACCTCCTCAAGAAATTAAGCCAAAGAACTGCTTCTCTGTAGCATCATCACTATCATTGCTAACTATGAGCAGGGAACACATTTCACATTGGAAACGTTTAATTTTTTTTATTACATAACCTGGAAATATATATGCCACTTATTTGCTATCTATTTCTGATTCGTGCTGGGTCAAAATATCACGAAGTATTGAATTGCCATTCTTTTCAGCTGGCTTGAGGCCTTCCTCCCAAAAGTTTATGTTTTCTTTTAACAGAGACCGACAGATCAGTATACTTTCAGTACTCAATACTTCACAAAGGCTCACAAAAAACCTACTACCATTCATCTTTGCTAGACAAAAATCTGAAATCTATACCCAAAAGTCAACCCAATCATAAAATTCTTTATAGAAATCAATTTTCCCTCATTTAAATTTACTGCGTTGTTAAAAAATCAGGTGTTTCTTTTTTTTTCTAAAATTTGCTATTGTCCATAAGGAAGTTAAGGAAGTTTGATATTCTAGTTCGATCAGGAAATTAGCACTCACAAGATGCAATATTTATCTCATGAAAAATGGCAACAGCTAAATTAATATTTTGTTTATTGCTACAAGGATGGCATGGAGGCCTTACGTAATTTAGCATCTAGAATGTTGTCCTTGTCATATATTTTGTGTATGTCAGAGTAGGTTATCTATCCAGAAAACCTCAGAAAAAACGTGAGTATTTGATATTTCAAATGTAAAAGCAAGAAATAAAAACTTCTTTTTGTTTAGTAAACTATTCCGAATATATTTTTTTTAATAATTGTACAAAGTGAAAAAAACAGAAATATTCTTTGGTAGGGGGGGGGGATAATTGTGAATTATTATGTAGGGTTAGGGTTGGGGTTATCTAGTACGTTTTTATCTCAATTAAACTTATCAAGTAAAATGTTAAATGCATTCACACTGGCTGAATGATTGTCTGCAACAACAGCCCTAATAAAAATCCAGCATTTATAAGTTATAAAATACATTTCAGAATCTCCTGATGAAGCCATTTATTAACTGTTACTTCAGGACAGGCTTTAACAATCGATGGTATTGTCTTTTTAATATCATTGAACATAAATACCATTATTCTTTTATAAAGTTCATCATTTTCATTTGCAACTTATGTAGTCCTCACCATGAAATTGTGTTCCTTTTTTAAAGTACATTTCATTTACCATTTAGACATAGTCCTGGAAAAGATTAACTTTTTTAACTCCATTTTGCAGCTGCAATTGATTTCACACCAGATTTTGAGTTTTCTCTAATAAAGAAAAATTCCTCCAGAAGTTGGCTTGTTGAAAGATATAGCGCAGTAGTAAGACACATAGTATTAGGTCTGCAGAAAGTGAAGGACAACCACATGTATCTGTCTATATTTCTGAGATGAGGTATTATGTACACTATTTACATTATTCGGACTATTGTCCTCATCTTTGTTGCCATATTTATCACAACGTTTTGTCCGTTGTACGTTCCGGCCTTAATTAGGTGATAACTGATAACTGACATCCATTAGACATGGTACGTGGAACTAGAACTGTCTACCCCAGTGAACGAAATAAAGGGCTCAGTTCGACATTCCAACCACCTGAAGAAGACCAGAGCGTACAACGGCCGAAACGTTGTGATAAATATGGCGACAAAGATGAGGACAATAGCCCGAATAATGTAAATAATGGACAACCTCTTGGTTTGTAACGTTGTCTTTTTTGTAATTCTTTTAGAATTGAGTATGGTTATTCTTCCACCAGATTTTGTATGTAGTTTAGAAAATTTTCTAATATGCTAAATTTTGTAAGTTTAGCATTATCTCCATGTATAAGCCAATTTCGAAAGCTTAGATAGGATTAAAAAATATGTATCAATACTGTGATTTTCTTTCTTTTAATGATAATGTTATTAAGCTTATCAGACGATATGAAAAGAATTTACATAAAATAGACAACATTTGTCTATATTATTTAATGAAACATGCATCAATATATATATATATATATATATATATATATATATATATATATATATATATATATATATATTTAAACAGGATTGGTTAAATAATTTAGACATATCATGTCAATTAGTTTTCGTTGTTATCCTTTGAAGTTTTCTGATTAATTTTTGGTAAGAAAAATATCAAAATTTTCTTTTGAGCTGATTTTATTTTCCCAAGTACTTTCGACCTCATCCGAGACCATCTTCAGGGGAGTTAAATTGTCTGTGAGTATTATATGTTTTTCTGTGAATTTCAACTGTTCGCTTTTTTTTTTTTTTTTTTTTTTACTTCTTATGCAGCGTACTACATTTCAGAGTTTCAAAGTACACTTGTTCTTCTGGAGTTTTTCCAGTATAAGGAACATTTTTTTTTTACTTTTGCTCATACGTATATAATTTTTTTTTTTTCTATAGAGGGTCTCAGATGAGATCGAAAGTACTTGGGAAAATAAAAACTATTCGAAAGAAAATTTTGTTTTTTTCTTACTCAATTTTCTAATTCTACCAACAAATTAATCCGTGAACTTGAATGGATCACAACGAAAACTGATCGATATGATATGTCTAAACCATTTAACCAAACCTGTTCGAATGAAAATATGCTGCCTAAATATACACTATATATATATATATATATATATATATATATATATATATATATATATATATATATATATATATATATATATATATATATATATATATATATATATATATATATATATGTATGTATGTATGTATGTATGTATGCATTTTATTGAATAATTTTCACTGATCAATCAAAATTCGTAAATAATTATATAGGCCATACTACAACATGTTTGACACACAGACTCACTCTAGCACCTTTCTGACCATAACTCAATTAGATCTCATTTAAATATTCATGTAGACCTACCGGACACTATTCATAACATACTTGTTGACAAAACTAATATAATAGCATCATCTGCATGCAACAAAAAAAGGCTAAAAATAATGGAAGCCTTATTAATAAAAACAAAAAACCAACGCTTAATAATATTGACTTTGAACATGGACACAATATCTTGACCGTGTTTTGAAAAATGAAAACATTTTATAAGACATACATGCAACAAACTATTTCTTATTTAATAGTTAAAATATTTAATCCATGCAAATGGCTAAATATATAGCCGAAAGCGCTCGGATAAAAAGAACATTCGGACAGTTTTTATATAATTTATTATTTGAAAAGAAAAAATATTAGATTGCATGAGAAATTGTGTAAAAAAACAAAATAAAAGCACCTTGTCTATCGTTTTCAATGAAATGAGCATGAAAGAAGGATTGCTGCCTATATATATATATATATATATATATATATATATATATAAGTACTCTATTTGAAAGAGAATTGTTTCAAAATCTCAGGTGCGTTAATAAAAGTTAAATTTTTATTTTTGCTTTTACCGACTTATGAAGTTTCAAATTTGGAGCATGTCGTCCAATATTATAACCACTAAGCTGTATCTAGAATCATTAAAAAAAATGTCTATATTGAGAATGCCAAAAGACTTCATCAAATCGATTCGTTCTTCTGTCATTCAAAGTTGAATGAAAAGATTATTAAGACAAGTTTAACCAAAAGAAATATGGAAATGACGTGACGGGATTCAATAAATATTTTTGACATTTGTCTGGTCTTCAAGCAGGTGAAGAAAGAAAGAAAGAAAGAAACAAAGAAACAAACAAACAAACAATTTACTGGTAAAAAAAGAAAGAACCCATTGAAAAGAAAGAAAGAAAGAAAGAAAGAAAGAAAGAAAGAAAGAAAGAAAGAAAGAATTTACTCGTAAAAAGAAGAATTCAGTAGAAAGAAGGAAAGAATTTACTGGTAAAAAAGGAATTCATTGAAAAGAAAGAAAGAAAGAAAGAAAGAAAGAAAGAAAGAAAGAAAGAAAGAAAATGAATTTACTGGAAAGAAAGAAAGAAAGAAAGAAAGAAAGAAAGAAAGAAAGAAAGAAAGAAAGAATTTACTCGTAAAAAGAAGAATTCAGTAGAAAGAAGGAAAGAATTTACTGGTAAAAAAAGAAAACCATTGAAAAGAAAGAAAGAAAGAAAGAAAGAAAGAAAGAAAGAAAGAAAGAAAGAAAGAAAGAAAGAGTAAACTTTAAAAAGAAAGAATAAAACCCAAGAAAAAGGAAATAAGTGCAAGAAAAAAGAAAGAAGAAAGAAAGAATAAACATTAAAAATGCCTAAAAGGCAAGAAAGAGGAGTAAGTAGGAGAAAGAAAGAAAAACGAACAAAAGAAAAGGGAAAGAGTAAAACAAACAACGTAAAAGAAATAAAAAATGGACAAAAATGAAAAAGGAAATATTTAAAAAAAGCGTAAAAAAAAACAAGGAAGAAAAGTGTAAAGAATGAAAAATGAAAGAAGAGAAAAAAATTGGAAAAAGAATGAATAAAAGAAAGAAGCTAAAAACTGAAAACGGAAAATTTTATAAAAAGAACGAAATTTTGAAGTAAAAAAAGAAAAGTATAAAAAAGAGAAGTAGGTTTGAAAAGCAATTAAAAATAGAGATAAAAAGAAATAAAAATCGTTCTATTTGAATTTCTGATTATGAAGAATTATGATTCTTGATATTTCATGTCGGACTAATTGGCTCATCTTGAACACTACAATTCTAACCTCTTCAAGTCAAGTATTAAGAATTATCTATCCTCCTTATCCTCATAATCTTCACTTCCTACGACCTCTTTTTCCATTCATATCACACAATTCAATCACCATAACCATATTAACATTAACCCTCTCTTTGATTGTCTCCTGTGTATTCTAATGAGTAAAATTTAGTATCTGAAAATCATTATATGAATAATTCTTGCATTGGTTAACAAACTAGCTTAGCAAATAATTGTTACTGTACTACCATCGATGAAAATTAGATTTTGTATAATTGTTGCCTTGTTACAAGGTTATACTTAGTAAATAACTCTATGACATGAAGGTGGTTTTCAATATTAAAATCTCTCTTCGCATCCTCGTTACTTTAGTTGGCCCTTTACGAAAAGTTTTGCTAAAAGAAAATTAGATTAAGTTGTGTTCTAAATAATCTTTATTTATTGAAATTTTTTCTCCGAAAATAACGTACAATGACATTTCATCTATATCTATAATTCTCAAAATGTGTGTGTGTGTGTGTGTGTGTGTGTGTGTGTGTGTGTGTGTGTGTGTGTGTGTGTGTGTGTGTGTGTGTGTGTGTGTGTGTAATCGGATGCTGTTTATGCGTTTCCACAGTTTTCATCAAATTTCGATTCTTTTTTTTTTTTTTTTTTTTTTTTCTTCAGTGCCGGTTTTGAGTCCAAATTGACTGGAAAAAAACTGATTTCTTACACTTTGTGCAAAAATCAAAAGCAAAATTTAATGTCTGTAAAAAACAGCGCACAGTCATTTTAGAGATTTGAAATCTAACGAAAAAGATTATTAGAATTATAAAAAAAATAATCGTCTATTATTATGACGGTCCATGGAAGAGGTTCCTTCCTTGCAAGATTGAGAACGCAAAAATGGTCCTTTTCAGAGACACCCTCCATTCAAATAATTAACCCACCATTTGGGGATGTGCCTCAGTTGCCTCAAATTATTGTTAATAACATTGATTTTCAGCTGGGTTGACTTTGAACTTAAACTGCTCCAACTGAACGGCAAAAATTCCCAATAATGAAAGACCCGGTCGAAGACGGGTTATACTGAAGGTTCATTTATATATTCACCATTAATTGCAATGTCTCCGATACCCAAGATTTACCTTGACCCACCACTGAGTCAGGTTGTTCTGGGAAGCCGAGTGTTTCCACTCAGGCCGCTGGTCAAAGCTGGTCTAAGATGGTCTTAGCTGGTCATTGCTGGTCACAGCTTGTTTAAGCTAGTCATAGCCGATCATAACACTGTTACGTAAAAGATGTCACGCAACAGTGGGGGGGCGCAAGGAAGGAGAGAAAGCCTCCGGCATGGAATAAATATTACATCTGCAGCATCTACTCTGACGCAGGAAAACCCCTCCTCCTCTTCCAATCCCTCCGGAAGAATCCAGGGGGGGGTCTCAATGTCTCTGATTCGTTTTGAGTAAAAATCTGCAACTTTTGACGTGAAAAGTTTTACGTCTATCACTTGCATCTGGTTTTCAATAGAGAAATTTTCCTCAAAACGATCATGGCTCTCCACAACTTCCTGCTCTTTGTCATGTGCTGGGTGTGGCAAGACTCTAATTGCTCTATCGCTACTTCCATGGAAACTGCTCGGACGCACTGGGTTCCTTGGTTCCGCCAGGTCTAAACTTCACGGCTAAGGAATCATTTTTGTGCATTAGACATTAAATTACATCACTTAGCGTCCTCCATTATTTACCGAGACCTTTAAGTTAGCCTAATTAATATTTATGAGCATTTCTTAAATTTATTTATTTATTTACTTTTGTTCATAAATACTTATTACAAAATAAAATCATTACATTTGCCTTCATAAAATACACAAAAGGACGAAACGCGTCGGCTGAGTTTCCTTTTGTCTGTCTGTTTGTGTGTGTGTGCATATATATATATATATATATATATATATATATATATATATATATATATATATATGAATATACTGTAACAGATAGATAGATAGATAGATAATAATTAACATAGATAGATAGATAATTAACAGACATAGATAGATAGATAGATAATTAACAGACATAGATAGATAGATAGATAGATAGATAGATAGATAGATAATTAACAGACATAGATAGATAGATAGATAGATAGATAGATAGATAATTAACAGACATAGATAGATAGATAGATAGATAGATAGATAGATAGATAGATAGATAGATAGATAGATAGATTAGTATAGTGTATTATTTCATCAGCTACCACTTGTAGAAATAGGCTCAACTGAAGCTGAATATATGTGACGTATAAAGTAAAAAGCTACTCTAGCTGTAGCAGATATGGCACAAGCAGAGGATTTAACGCCATTTGATCAATGAATAAAAGCCAGTATATGCTGCATTAATGGTGATTTCGTAGCCATCGACCAACCAGGGTAACAGTATTGGTGCAAAGATAACATTACCTACCACACACTTACCCGAGCAAGAGTACATTACAATTGGATCATAAAAAAGGGCGATATAGGTTTATCCCTTGTTCACTCTTTATGATTGCATTTCCGGTTCCATCTAAAGTCTACTTTCACACTACACGTCTAACTTCTCCGACTGAATCTTGAAATGCCATTCGCTAATTAAATCTTGACCACTGCACGTCTAGAATTAGCTGTTATTGTTTTTACATAGCCTCAAGAATTTCACTTCTTGCCCTTTTTTACGCTAATGCAACTCCATAGTAACCCACTACCTTGAGTGGCTCTCAGGCCTTGTTTTGGGTGAATTTTAGTAAAAACGATGTTCTGGTTAGACGAGTAACGCTTCCAAATCAGTTCAGTAATAAGGCCAAAGCTATGATGACAAACCAATGATATTCGACGGTAGGTAAATTACCATAGCCATAACTCGAAACCTGTTCGCCAAATCATTTTTATGGGGAATTATCAATATAATCTTTTTTTTTTAAATCGACTGATTTTTTTGTTGTTTTTTGCGAGGAGTTTTCTTTCAGTTCTTTTTTTTTTTTTTTTTTTTTTTTAAATTACCAGACGACATTAATTCTGTCATTTTACTAAAGATGGCGTTAGTGAATTTCTTCTCTACCGGTAGATTCGTTGTACACAGCAGCCATTTTGGTTATTTAATACCTACTGTTTTCTTCTCTCTTTTTTTATTACGCTTTCTACATTTCTGACTGCTACGAGAAAATTACAACTCGTCGTAAGCTTGATTGAAAATGAAGAAGCAGGAAGTGAACAAAAAATATAAAAGAAAGTTGCAAATGGAAATACGAACAAAGTATGTAAAAAGTTAATACTCGGTAATTGAAACACTTTGATTCGCGCCAAGATTTTTAAGGTAAAAAAAATGTTGTGCAGTAAATGAAAAGTTCTCTACTTTTGCAATCGACTAACATATCAAGTAAAGAAACGTTTTCTGGTGGCACCATAGAAAATGCGTCGCAAATACAACTTGTCTTCTTCGAAGTCGAGTCAATGTCTGCAAGAAATTAGGTTGACTCTCAACACAGTAATTAGAAGCAGGCAGAAAAAGTGTAAATAAAAAAATGATTACTATGTTGGCCAAAGAACATTTTCAACATTTTCTTGCATTTGGAGGTGAAGATAGCAATAAGCTGTATGGAGATAGATAGATAGATAGATAGATAGATAGATAGATAGATAGATAGAAAATGAAAAGATTGAGATAGATAGATAGATAGATAGATAGATAGATAGATAGATAGATAGATAGATAGATAGATAGATAGATGTGTTCTAAAAAATTTCTGGTTTTGTTTATTAAAATTATTCTATAATTATAACGTACAATGACTTTTCATCTATATCTAAAATTCTCAAAATATGTGTGTGTGTGTGTGTTTGATCACATGTTGTTTATGAGTTTCCACAGTTTTCATCCGAATTTCGATGAACGTTTTTTTTTTTTTTTTTTTTTTGATAGATAATCCTTCAGTGCTGGTTTTGAGTCCAAATTGACTGGAAAAAATTACAACCTTGAAGGTGAAATATCGAAAAAAAACTGATTTTTTACACTTTGGGCAAAAATCAAAAGCAAAATTTAATGTCTGTAAAAACAGCGCACAATCATTTTAGAGAGATGAAATCTATCGCAAAAGATTATTAGAATTATAAAATAAAAATTGTATTATAAATAAAAATTATCGTATATTATTATTATGACGGTCCATAGAAGATGTTCCTTCTTTGCAAGATTGAGAAACCAAAAACGGCCATTTCAGGGTCACACCCCATTCAAATTGTTAACCCCTATTTGGGGATGTGCTTCAGTTGCAACCAATTGTTGTTGCTAATATTGATTTTTAGGTGGGCTGATGTTAAAAAAGTGAAAAAAAAATGATTACTATGTTGACCAAAGAACATTTTCAACATTTTCTTGCATTTGAAGGTGAAGATATCAATAAGTTGAATGGCATGGGATAGATAGATAGATAGATAGATAGATAGATAGATAGATAGATAGATAGATAGATAGATAGATAGATACTGAACAGTCTTAGATAGATAGATAGATAGATAGATAGATAGATAGATGAATAGATAGATAGATAGATAATGAACAGTCTTAGATAGATAGATAGATAGATAGATAGATAGATAGATAGATAGATAGATAGATAGATAGATAGATAGATAATGAACAGTCTTAGATAGATAGATAGATAGATAGATAGATAGATAGATAGATAGATAATGAACAGTCTTAGATAGATAGATAGATAGATAGATAGATAGATAGATAGATAGATAGATAGATAATGAACAGTCTTAGATAGATAGATAGATAGATAGATAGATAGATAGATAGATAGATAGATAGATAGATAGATAATGAAGTCTTAGATAGATAGATAGATAGATAGATAGATAGATAGATAGATAGATAGATAGATAGATAATGAACAGTCTTAGATAGATAGATAGATAGATAGATAGATAGATAGATAGTGAACAGTCTTAGATAGATAGATAGATAGATAGATAGATAGATAGATAGATAGATAGATAGATAGATAGATAGAAAGAAATGCACGATTATTCTGGATAATGGTATGTTGCATGTTTTCACTCACACCCACATGCACCCAGCTAGATTGCCAATGTGTGAAATAACAAGCAAGTTTTTTTTTGTATATTAAAGTTCAACTTGTGCCAGCCTCGAGAGCCACACAAGGTAGAGAATTACTGTTAAATTGGTTATGATGAATAAGATGTCTAAAAGGAATTAAACAGGAGATGGGAAGAACAAGTCTATGGTTAAACATTATCTTCCCCATATATCTCTATGAAGCAGAGTCTCTTACTCTGTAACCCTCTACATCAAGTGGCTCCTAGGTCTTGTACAGGGTGAACATTATCACAAAACAAAATTGATTATTATTATTATCTGTCTATATTTCTGAGATGAGGTATTATGTACACTATTTACATTATTCGGTCTATTGTCCTCATCTTTGTTTCCATATTTATTACAACGATTTCAGCCTTCTTTAGGTGGTTGGAATGTCGAACTGAACCCTTTATTTCGCTCGCTGGGGTAGACTGTTCTAGTTCCACGTGCCATGTCTAATGGATGTCAGTTATCAGTTGTTAATTCACCTCTCCAAGTTCTCCACTGCCTTAACCAGGTATTGAACTCACAACTCTAACCAACGCCTTTATCCACTGTGCCAGTCTGATAAGGGTATACCAGGAATATGTATCACAACCAAATGTGTGCAATATAGTGACAAGCTTTGGTAAAAAGGCAGCATATAAACTTATCTACTTAGAAATACCTTGAGGCTTAGTAAGCCAGTTTGTAATTTCATTAGTCTTGAAACTAAGACCAAATTCCTTTTTACTGATGGTTTATTGCATGTTGATATATAGTAACGGTAATAAAACCGTTGGTATATAATCCAAGTGGATCCTAGTAACATAAAATATTAAAACTGATCTACAAAGAGACCTCAATGTATTTATTATTACAGAGCAAAAATTAATTAAAAAAAATAAAAAAAATAAGAAAAATCATTGTGTTGAAAGATAGAAGAAAAATATATATCAGAGATGCTGTTAAGTTTTAGCAAGAAAAAAGGAGATATAGAAAATAAGTGATAAGCATTTAACTTTTGCCTAAGTGAAATGGAAATCTGTCTATATATCTGAGATCAGGTATTATGTACACTATTTACATTATTCGGACTATTGTCCTCATCTTTATCAACATATCAAAGACACATGGCACAGTGGATAAAGGCGTTAGTTAGATCCAGTGACAGGATCCAAAAAGTGTGAGTTCAATACCCGGTTAAGGCAGTGGAGAACATTCAGAAGGAAATTAACAGGAGATAACTGATAACTGACATCCATTAAACATGGCACGTGGAACTAGAACAGTCTACCCCAGTGAGCAAAATAAAGGGTTCACTTCAACATTCCAACCACCTGAAGAAGGTCGTAGTATACAACGGCCGAAATGTTGTAATAAATATGGCGACAAAGATGAGGACAATATCCGAATAATGTAAATAGTGAAATGGAAATGCTTGTCAATTTTTAGTTTTTTTATTTGTACCCTCTTACTTCTTTAAAGAATGATCTACATTCATACTTATGATTGTTACTTCAATGTTTTATTAAATTTATTGAATTCAAAAATTTAATAATGCAATAAAGGAAGTTACATGAGTATTTCATAGTTGAGGATCTTGCAAAAATCTTAATCAATTGTTAATCTAAGAATTACGTTTTAGAAAACTCAAATAGGAAAACATGACATGTTCACAGATGCTGCTAATTATTATTATTTAGTAATAAAGAGCAACATGCCAACAAAGTGCTGCTGGCGTACAAACATGTGAAGCCAAATGTACCCATCATGACACCCAGTCTGATAAGGGTATACCAGGAACATGTATCACAATCAAATTTGCGATATATGAAGACAGGTTTTGTTTACATTAGCAAATGACCTTGTAGATTAAACCCAGTTAGAATTACCTTCAGGTCGGGTAACTAAGTTCGCTCAGTCTCCGATAGCGTATTTACATGACCTCTTCACCATTGCAGGATGTGACACGAGGTCGTTTTTTTAACGTAAGCAGCCCATGCACATGAATATGCATAAAGGCCAAGGAGAAAAAAAGGGCCAGGTTTTCGCGACCACTGTCACGCTGGCATCGATATTACACTGACCCAACATCTCTTAGCTCAATGAGGAAAAGGTGCTGCCACGGGATTGGAATCTCCGGGACCGGGCGTCTTCCCCCATATAAAAATAACGAGAGAACAGATACTACGCTTTGATCGCAGCGAAAAGGACGGTCTTCGGTAGAGGATGTTCCCAAATATTTAGTTGTCACTTCCAAATTGACATGGCTGCCTCATATTTCAAATTCACACACACACACACACACACACACACACACACACACACACATATATATATATATATATATATATATATATATATATATATATATACACATGCTCCCCAAATACTACCGCCCATGAACAAAGATAGTACATCATACCCTGAGATCCCAGCTGGTCAAAGTCATGGAAATCTGTGCTTTTTAATAGGATATTTACTGAAGCCCATCTTAATTCGCCTGAACAAAACACATACATTAACACCTCCAATTAATTAAGTTCAGAAGCCAAGCCTGATGTAGAATCAAGATATTATTATTATTATTATTATTATTATTATATTTCCTTTGATTTCTGGTGTGTATTCATTTCTTTTCGGGTCCCGCCAAGAGACCTAAGGGCAGAAATGACATCATGACATTTTCCACTGAACAATTAAAAAAAAGATGTGGCATATGAGAACATCAACAATCCCTGTGGTAGTTGGAGCCCTCAGATTTATTGGAAAAGATTCCAACAGACTCATTGAAGGGATTTCTGATAGCCCGTACCTTAAAGAAATCCAATTATTCTCACGAGTACACGCCACACTTTACGGAGTGCTTTATCTATGTAAAATACGTGTTTTTCTGTTTTGTTTTATTTTATTTTATTATTATTATTATTATTATTGGAGACCAGAAGACAATGATGGAAGCAACGAGAGAGAGAGAGAGAGAGAAAGAGAGAGTAATGTCAGACCTCCATTGCACATTCCATCTTTATCTGCCACACCTACAGAAGAGAATGTCACGCAAGGATTGTTCTGATAAGCTACTCTGAACGCTGCTCACAAAAAGACAATGTTTCACTAAAGAGGGTTCTACCATCAATTCGCGAGATAAATGGATGACTACTGTTATCCATTGTTGATCATATCATATCAAATCTCCAGCACTCTCCTCAGTATTCTCAGTGCGCTAAATTTTTATTTCTCTCCCTACCCCATCTCCTTTTGCCATTTCTTCTTTTGATTTTCCTATTTTTAAGAATTCCGGTTTTCTTTCCTTCGCCCTTTCTTCATTCCTTCCTTTCCTCTTTCTTTTTATTTATTTCTTATTTCGTTCCAATCTTTTTCATTCCTTCTATTCTGTCTTTATTTCTTCATCGTTTCCACCTTTTCTTTTATCATTCATTCATTTCTATAATTATTTCTATAATTATTAATAATATTAATATAATTTCTATAATGATTTCATCTTATCGTCATTCTGCTCGAATTTTATGAATTTAACCATTCTTCCTCTCCTTTCTTTCTAAACTCTTTCCTTTCTTCTTTTTGAGTTTCTAAATTTATCCTTTCTTCCTCTTGTTTCTTTATTCTTCTCTTTCGTTCTTTCTTTCTTTCTTTCTTTATTTATTTATTTTCTTTCTTCTTTTTGGGTTCCTAAATTTATCCTTTCTTCCTCTCCTTTCTTTATTTTTCTCTTTCTTTCTTTCTTTCTTTCTTTCTTTCTTTCTTTCTTTCTTTTCTTTCTTCTTTTTGGGTTCCTAAATTTATCCTTTCTTCCTCTCCTTTCTTTATTTTTCTCTTTCTTTCTTTTCTTTCTTCTTTTTTGGGTTCGTTAATTTATTCTTTCTTTATCTCTTGTCTTCATTCCTAGATTATTTTCTTCTTTCACTCCTCCCTTTCTTTCATTATCTTTTCTTCCTCTTCTTTCAATCTACCTTCCTTTCTATGATTATTCATCCTTTTTTCCATTCCTTCTTAAATTCTTCCTTTCGTCCTCTTCATTCTTTTTCCCTTTCTTCTTTCAAGCATTTCTAAATGTATCCTTTCTTTCTCTCTTGTCTGCAGTTATTCCTTTCTTTTATCATTCCTTCTTTCTTTCTTTCTTTCCCCCTCTTCTTTCTTTAGCCTTTCTTTCGTCATTACTTCCATTTAATTTTACTTCCTTCTTTTCATTTTTCTCTTCGTTTTTCTTTCTTTATCCTTTCTACCTTTCTATATTAAACCCTCTCTGTCTCTATTAAGTTCGTCTTTCTTCCATCTTTCCTGCTTTTCTTTTTATCCTTTCTTCATTCCTTCCTTACTCTATTAATTCTTTCTTCCTTTCTTTCTCCCGGAATTTCTAACTTTATCTTTCCTTCCTCTTCTTTCTTTATTTCATCTCCCTTCCTTCTTCTTTCATCTTTTTTTCTTCCTTCTCTGTTTGGTTTCTTCATTCATTCATTTTCATTCTTCAATCGTGTTCCATTCTTTTTTCTTTCATTTGTTCCTTCTCTCTTGTTTTTATTTATCATTTTCCCTTTTCTTTCTTCATTATTTCTTTTTCTGTCTTTTTTTCTTTTTTCTTACATCCTATTCTTTCTTCATTCCTTATTTTCTATTTTAATTCCCTCTTTTCTTCCTTCTTTCCGGCTTTTCTAAAATTATCCTCTCTTTCTCACCTGTTTTAATTCCTTCTTGTCTATTATCTTTTCTTCCTTTCCTTCTGCTTTTTATTCTTCATCTTTTCCCTCTCCCTTTTCCTCATTCCTTCTTTTCTTCTTTTTGTGTTGCTTTTCTTCCTTCATCATTTCTCTCTCGCCTTTCTTCATTTCTTCTTTTCTTCCTTCTCTCCTGTCATCATTTCTCCCTCACTTTTCTCCATTCCTTCTTCTTGCCTGTCTTCCTTTCTTTATCCTTTTCTTTTTTTCATGT